ACAGCTAAATTTCGGCAATGGAATGCTAAATCACGGTGGAAAGTGATTGTCTTCCGGTGATAGAAGCTCTCAAACGGGAACCTAGTTTGCAGTAATATGGGGCGATCGTAGATGAATGCTTTTCTTATTTGAGTTGTTTTTCGTTTTGCACCTTTTCGTTTGTACAGAGACAAGCTTCGTCTTCATCTTTGGACTCCATGGAAGGTATTAGCCGTCCCCTATTTTGGCCAGAGAGTGCCTAATGATATCCTCATTTTCTCAAAAAAAATAAAAAAAAATCAGATCATATTTTCAAATTAATGAACTAATGACTAGAACATAAATATATACTTCATATATTTCATGCCATTAAATAGATCTATCATGCATCTCTTATGAAATCAAAATTGCAAAGAGATTAAAGTTTATTTGAAACGCTTAAATCCAAATATTACGAAGGATATTAATATTCCGAGATTACCGTTTCACATTATAAACCCGAATTACAAGTTCTCCATGCAACCTTGTCCCACGAACAATTACCTTTCAACGAGCATCTCAAATTCTACGAGTATCCTCGCCCCATGAACAGCGAGACTTCGTGGTGATAACGTGTTGTAAAATGGCCTATTTAATCTAGATCTTTAGTTTGTGACTGTGGAAATACATACGAACGTAAATAACAATAATAGAGAGAGGAGAAGGAGAGAAAACAAATGAACAACAAGAGAGACAAACGTAGAAAGATAATTGTGGGTGTTTTTAGGGAGAGGGAGATATTCTATTTTACAGGTGTAAAACACCGGGAGTTACAAATGAGTTACAATGGAAAGTTACATAGGAGTTACACGTCCACTAACACCATATAATAATTATGGGAGGTTAATAAACTAGTGGGAAGTTGAGAACCATGAAGTGGTTATGTTAGGAAACCCCATATTATAGACATATTATTTACAATAGTTTATATTTTTCAAATTTGTTTTTCTTTAACTTATGGAACGCAAATTATTAACTGTCTTTTACTTAGTTTTTTTCCGGCGTGAGCAAGAACATATTTTAAACAGTTTCCTGTTTTCAAGATTGAAATACTACCGGTATTGAACCTCAGTTCTGCATGACAAAACAAATATTTCTTTGAGATTTCCGTCAAGCCCATCCTCAAACACACTTAGATCAATCTCAATGGCATTCGCTACTCAACCCTTCTCACTAACTAACATTTATGCACTACAAAATTGAACACCAAAAGATTTAGTATAAAGGAGCAAAGTTCTTTGAATCTTGCATTAATTAGCTCTCTCAGCCGAATGCAACCTCCCAATACACCAAATCAATACCCATTGAGAAATATCATTCATTATATTGAGACGATCACACGAAGAATTTTCTTCCACGAAAGCATGATAGATTAAAACTCCAAATTTAGGAGCATAATAGTAAGATAGTTTAACAATAAGAATTAGACTAAAGTCACACCCATATTTAAAGTTCCAAATCGAAGTAATGGTCTGATTGAAAATTTCAACAGTCATGAACTCAAAACAACGTTTCCTGCTCAAACAAATACGACGGTAAAATATATTATCATTTCTGGGGTGAGTCATGAGATTCAAAAGGTCCTGAGTATATTTAAAAAGATGGCCTTCTCTTCCGACTAATTAACATCATATACTGATGCATCCCTTTAATTTGATTAACTAACATGAGCCTGTTTTGTTGGTTTACAAAGAAATTAAACTCCTATATATAATACTCCATCTCCCTAGCTGATGGTGTGATTGTTTTAATAATGTGGTTGGGAGTTGCTCTATCGAATATTTTATATTCTAGTTAGATTTTAGAAGGTATAATATAATCAAGAAGTTTCTACAGAGCTCTTAGAAATCCTTACAAATTGATGACAAGTTCCTCCCGACAAGTGGTTTAAGTATGAATTTGTCTTTTGGGTTAGTTTTCTCATTGAGAATCTCTTTGGATAAATATCGTAAAACTTGGTCCGAAATAGGCGGAACATAACATCGGTAGGATAACCGTTATTACGGATTTTAATAGGAAGAAGATTTCTTTAAGAAACAACAAATATTTTTCTAGCAAAACAATTTAAATAAATATCTTACTTGTCACACTATCCATGTTATGAGCAAAATAATATATCAAACACTATAACTAAATTACAAGCAAAAAGAGATCGTTATGATAGCAGTATAAGCTATTAATACAAATATGTTGTCCATATGTATGTAGACATCTAATATATGCATAAACAAAAGTAATCATTCTTATCAAAAAAAAAAAAAAGTAATCATGCTTTTCATCATCATTTTTTTTCCGAATAAAACACACGAAACGGTCTTAAGACGTAAAAAATTTAATATAAAAAATAAATTTTATTTATTGAATAATATAATAGTATTGGATACCATTAATCAATCAAATAAAATTGATAAGGTATGGTCGGTACTCGGTAGGACATCATTATCCCTCGGTATAAATTATTTGGTAGAAAATCTAAAATCCAGCCCTAATTACAACTTACAAGATAGAGTGTGCATATACTCCAATTCCTTCTTAATAATAATGGGATAATTAGCAAGACCCCCCTCATCTAGGTAAATGAGTTAAGAAAACCCCCCCTCCCAAAAATAATTAGAGAAAACCCCCTTACCTAATATCCTACCCAAATATTATTTAATAATTCCCAAACCACCCTTATTACCCCTAACCCATAGCCGTTCTCTCTTTTTTTTCTTGTCTTCTCATCTTCTCGTCTTCTGCTTCTCTTCTGCCGTGTTCTTTGGTTTTTTTTTTTTTTTCTTTCTCCGACAAATCTTCTCATCACCGTCGCCCCCGTCGCCGCTGCCAACCTGGCTCACCGTTCATCAACAAACAACCCCATTTCTCTCTCTTCATTCCTCCCCAGTTCACCACCACCACTATCTCTCCTCTGCCGTCCACTGATACCGTTGCCAAAATGATGAAAGGTGCCTCCGTTGACCAACGCCGCCGCCGGAGAGGATGTGGAGGGGGAGTAAGTGGCCGTGGAAGAAGATTTCATCCGCCGGAGATAAATCGATGGCGGCGATTGGAGGAGGGGATTTTGGTTTGTTGGTGTTAATGTCGGACGGCGGTTGTGGCGGCGGCGGTTGCGGCGGCGGGTGGAGGGAGATGGTGAAGGAGAATTCATGGGAGGGTGAGGATGAAGGTGAAGGTGGATTGATGAGTTGTACCTGCTGCTTTGTTTGTTGTTCCTCTTCACCCCTCACTATAATTTGATGCTCAATTTCCATAGCTTTTTCTTTTTTTTTTTTTTGATGAATTGCCAATTTTTTTTCTTAAAACCTGACGGGTTCGGCCATGGCAGGAGCTCTGGGTGGTGTGGTGACGAAGGGGAGGTTGTTTTTTGATTTTTTTGTGGATGAAACCTAAATCGACTATGTACATGTTCATAGTCGATTAAGCTAATCGACTATGCTCTGGTAGTCGATTAAGGTTCATCGACTCCAATTTTTTTTATTTTTTTTGGATTTTTTGTTTATTGCTTTCAATTGTATAAATCATTTATAATATTTGTATATTTTTTTGTTTTGGTAATATATAGTTGATTTTGTATTTTTTTCGCAGTTGTGATTTGTTATTTTTAGTAGCAGATTCTTAATCGACTATGCTTCACATCATAGTCGATTAATACACCTGATATAGAAAAAAAAAATTAAAAAAACAAAAAAAAAAAAATAATTAAATAATTTCCTTAATCGACTATGAAGCATAGTCGATTAAGGCTTAATCGACTATGCTTCATAGTCGATTAAGAAAAAAAACGGGAAAAAAAAAAAAAAAAAAAAAAAAAATTGCTGAGCGTGACCCACTGATGATGTGGCGGGTGGGGACAAAGCTGGAAAGCATAATAGCTGAAAATGGGTGTGGACTTTTCTCAAATGGACTAAAATATTTTGGGCCTCCCTCAATTAAAAAAAATAATGAGGGGGTTTTCTCAAAGAGCCCCAATAATAATATAATATACATGTGTTTCACAATGAAAGAAGTCCAATTTCCTTTCATTATTGGAGGCTTCGTTCAAATACTCTCCCTTAAATATATTACAATTTTAGACTTAAGTAATCTTCCAATTCTATCGCATCCCAACTGGATAATTTCACTTGTTTCGTTGCATATGTGATTTAACATTTCTCGTGTGATTTGCAAGTTACTATACGTACGAAAGTTAAAATATATCCACTCATGGCCGTTTCTGAGATTTTGGGGGCCCTAGGCGAGATTTGGAGATGGTTGAAAAATGGGGCCCTTCTATAATCTAGTTTAAGGCTCAATTTTTTTCTAAAAAAATGATAAACTCTATGTTAACTCGTTTTGTAAGATATATAGCCAGAGACAAGGCTATAAATTTCCGAGGGTTCGGGGGCAGCGTACCCGGATTTTTTTTAAGGATAATTTTCATTAAGTAGCACTAAAACAAACGTAAATATATAAAAATAAACGGTTAATGCAATATAAATTTAATAATTGGGGGTCATATGATTAGAGGAATTATAGAAACAAGTAAAAATTCGTTGATCCATATCTATTTATGAATTAGTGTTTGCAATAATTATATATATATAATATATTTTTTTTTAAATAAATACTAATATATAAAGTGTATAAAAAAATTTGAGGGCCCTAAATTTTTTACAAAAATCCCGGGGCCCTAGGCGACCGCCTATTTGACATCCCCTCAGAACCGGCCATGTATCCACTACATCTATCTAAGTTGGCTACCGACTCTTTCATTACCAAAAAAATACGGACTATTTCCTCATAATGACCTTTAAATTAATAGACAATGGTAAATTACAACAACCCTATGAGCTAAGGTCTATTACGAAAACCCCCATCATTTTTTTCATAATAACATCCACTCTTTGTAATTTGTAAATTTCTTACATTAACACTCTTGTGTAGGGGTGAATGTAATAAAATTTACAAATTACAGGGACTGAATGTAATTTCTAAAAAAAAAAGTTTTTTTAAATAATTACATTTTACCTCAAGGAGGTGGTTGCAATTTACCCAACAAATAATTGTGATATATTTTTAATTTTTGTTTTAATCTATCCAATTTGACCAATCGCAACAAAAAGAAAATGATATCCAAAATTCCGAATCAAAAGGTGAAATATTAGTGCCATGTGCCAGGCACGTGCCCGCTTCAATCATTCAGATAGATCCAAGGAAGTTAATCAGCCCTCCTTAAAATAAAAATAAAAAATCAGCCCCCCCACTAAGATTGTGACACGCGTATCCTCACCTAACTGACGAACCGTCAGATTGATACTGCATGAGAGAGCAAATGACAAATATACCCCTCAGTCCCTGCTATACATTCAAACCCATTCCGAGCTGTAAATCAAAAGAGATGAGAGTATCTGATTAATTGCGGTGGTGCAAAAACCCTAGAAAAAAAAAAAAAAAATCTGTTTCTCTCGTTTCTATATTTGCCGGTCAAAAATTAGAGAGATCTCCGCCTGGGAATGCAGAAAGATGGGAAGATTTCCGGTTCCTAACGCCCGATTCGGCGGCGGAAGGACCGATAAACGCCTCACCAGCAACCGTAATTGCCACCGCAAGCACGTCGAAGACGGGTGAAAACCACTTTAATTTCCTCCGCCGCCGCCGCCGTCACAATTTACATCAATTTTATCTTTTTTTTTTTGTTAGTATAAAAGATTTTGATTTTTTTTTTTTTTTTACCTTGTCCGAGAAATTAAATTAAGAGACGATGGGAATCGAAGAAATGAAATGCGGCGGCGCGTTGCATGGTAAGTACGAGCTGGGGCGGCTGCTCGGGCATGGGACTTTTGGGAAGGTGTACCACGCGCGTAACCTCCAGACGAGCAAGAGCGTGGCGATGAAAGTGGTGGGGAAGGAGAAGGTGGCGCGCGTGGGCATGACGGAGCACGTGAAGCGTGAGATCTCCATCATGAAAATGGTGCACCACCCCAACATCGTCGAGCTCCACGAAGTCATGGCCACCAAGACCAAGATCTACTTCGCCATGGAGCTCGTCCGCGGCGGCGAACTCTTCGCCAAAATCTCCAGGGGCAGGCTGCGCGAGGACGCCGCCCGGAGCTACTTCCAGCAGCTAATCTCCGCCGTCGATTTCTGCCACAGCCGCGGCGTCTACCACCGCGATCTGAAGCCGGAGAATCTCCTCCTCGACGAGGAAGGGAATCTCAAGGTCACCGATTTCGGCCTCAGCGCAATCTCCGATCACCTCCGCCACGACGGCTTGCTGCACACCACTTGCGGAACCCCGGCGTACGTCGCACCGGAGGTGATCGGGAAAAAGGGGTACGACGGCGCGAAGGCCGATATCTGGTCCTGCGGCGTGATCCTCTATGTGCTGCTGGCCGGTTATTTGCCTTTTCAGGAGGGGAACATTATTTCAATGTATCAGAAAATCCACCGGGGCGATTTCAAATGCCCACCGTGGCTATCGTCCGAATCCCGGAGGCTGATTATTAAAATGTTGGATCCGAATCCAAGTACGAGGATCACCATAGCTAAGATCATGGATTCAACATGGTTCAAGAAATCTCTTCCCAAGGGTTTGAAGATGAAAGAAGAGCAGGAATTCGAAGAAGCAGAGACTCTGAATGCATTCCACATCATTTCTCTATCGGAGGGATTTGATCTGTCACCATTATTTGAAAAGAAGAAGAGGGTGGAGAAGGAAGAATTGCGATTCGCGACTACGACTTCTGCGAGCAGTGTGATTTCGAAGATCGAGGAGGTGGCGAAGACGACGAATTTCAGGGTGAAGAAGAGCGATTCTTGTGTGAGGTTGCAGGGGAGGGAGAGTGGGAGGAAAGGGAAGCTGCGTATAGAGGCGGATATATTTGCGATGACGCCGTCGTTTGTAGTGGTGGAGGTGAAGAAATCGAGCGGAGATACGCTCGAGTACAACCAGTTCTGCAGCAATGAGCTTAGGCCGGCGCTTAAAGATATTGAGTGGAGATCGGCGGGTGGCAACTCTGTGGCTGCTTGAAAGGTGTTCGACAAAAGTCCTGAACCAGATGGTGGGTCTCCCAGGTGTGTGGGGATTTTGAGCAAGTGGGGCCCGTTTGTTTGGTTATGGTTTATTCTTTGTATTGTTTATTTTGAATTTGATTTGGTGTCATTTTGTACTGCTGTCTTGTTATATATTTGTGGCTTGTGAGTGTGATTGAATATTCTGTATTGCTTATGTGTACATGTCCTAGTGGTGCAATAATTTGTGCTAAGTGGGTGCTTTGCGAAGGTAGATGCTGCATGTGGTTATTTACATCGGGTGGATTTGAGCAGTAGATTCAATTAAATTTAATTACCCAATAAACATACATACATACGGGTGTATATGATTATGTGTAGAACTACAGTTCAAATTCACACGGAGTATTTATCGGTAGCAAAAGAAAAAAAATGCTTTTATTTAGTGACTACCTCGGTGAAAATCGGACATATCGAATTCGAATTATTGCTTATGGCTTTTTTTTTTTTAAGTAAACAATTAATTACAATTCGTCCTGGAAAAAAATCGAAAAAAGAATAAAAATGGAATTCTAGATATTGGAATTACAAACTTGTTCCAACTTGGTAAACTTTTTTATCGGAATCTAATGAATTTGGAAAATTTATTTTTTTCAATCACTTATATTATAAATAAAATGCGGGTGGGACTTAGGTACCGGATTTTCGGAAACCCCTACCGTCTCGAATGGGTTTAGATGATCTGGAACTGAAATTTCGGGTTTTCGGGAATTCGGAATTTCCCGAAATACCAGTTTCCGAAATCAGGTCGGGATTCGGGTAATGGTCCCTAAGTGATCGGGAAAACCCGTCCCGAACTTCCGGTAAGAAGAAAAATAAGTCTAGTATATATGTTATCCCAAGCCCAGCCCACTACAAGTCCAATACCCACACTTCAAATTCAAAGAAAAACCTTAAATTGAAAAATCTCAACACCCCAAACAAGTTTAGCAGTTCAACCATTCTTCTTGGGCTCGTCACTCGTGGTTATTCTCCAACACACTTCTGCAAAATTGTCACCTCCACGCCACCTACTCTCGGCATCATCTAGGGGCGGGTTCGGGATGGGATATTGGGATTCAGGGTTCAAATTTTAAATCCCAATTCCATCCCAAAGTTTCAAATGCCGGTGTATCAGAAACGGGAATCCCTAAATATTTCAGGATTTTGGGATCGGGATCAGGAAATCGCAAGTTTTGCCTAAGAAATATAGCAAAAATATTTCACTTCCATTTCTTGCAAAAAAAATGTATTAGGTAAAAAATTATATACTATCACCACTACTACTATCACCATCACTACTGTCACCACCACCAACACTACTACGACTACTACTACCACCACCACTACTAACTAATATTATTACTAGCTACCACCACCACTAACTACTACTATTGTTGCAGCCACCACCACCACTACTACAACTACTACTACTACAACCACCACCACCAACACTACTACGACCACCACTACTAATTACTACTACCACCACCACTACTACCACCACTATTAACTACTACTATTACTACTATATTTATTGTCTTTTTTGAAATTTATAATTTGTATTACTATTGGAATCATAATGTTTTTGGAGTTACATTTAATTTGACATTTCGTTCGATATCATCTATCATTCAAGGTAAAAGGTAAACTCGTTTAGCAGAAAACTAATTTAAAAAAAAAATAAAACAAAATAAAGAAACTCGTTCTTTAGATCACTCTTCAGGCCGTGTTTTCATCTCCATGCATTAGATTTTTGATGAATTATCATGCTCCAGTTCATACAGGCTCAATTGTCCTAAAGTTCATATAGTAAGAATTACACACAATGCTTAAAGGCAACCCATGTCCAATCTCACCTTACTCAGTAGCATTTCATAGAGTCTGTCACTAGCCCCACGTGGGATAGACATGGACTGATGTGACTATACTCTACCCAGAGTCATAAACAAAAGCCGTAAGATTTCAGGCGCTGTCAGTTTTCATAAAATTAATTGGTGTTAGGAAACATGTAAATCCTAGCCTTATAGTGTATTACGGTATTCGATTGTGGACCGCCTATGCCCAGGCCTCCCCAGGTGGATAATTGTTGTCAGATCCATACTAACAATAACGGAAAAATAGTGTAATCTTCTTGGTAGTTAGTTCAATATATTAATGTAATTAGGGGTTCCATCAATTTATCCCAATTGATGATGAGACTATTAAATATTTTCAAAGTTCACACCACCACTAATTCAACAATCATGTACTGTGTAGACGCCTGGCAAAGTGGCACGATAATGCTTCTAATCACAATCACTAATATCAAAATCAGGGAATTAAAGAGTACCAATAGATACATATTTTTATTTTTATTCAATATTTACATATTTATAAATTAGTCTTAATCGCTTGCAATTATAATTTAATTTCAAAAGTTAATGTTTTATTTTTCTCATATTAATCTCCTTTGATTAGCCACCACTGAGCTTAAGAATTGTCCCGAGTTGCATCTTCCAAGGAATCTATGATGGTAAACTGTCCTAATCTTGACAAGAAATGTACCACAAATGTGATGTTTCAATAATTGAAGTACTTAGTAATAATTCAACTGTCTTGATCAAAACATTGTTCATCCTCCCTTTAAATATTATACAAAAGTTGTACTAATAATTTCATTGTAACAGTTTTTAAATTTGTTGCATGGTTTAACTTCTTGAGACACATTCTAGTTTGTCATTCATTCATTTCATTATTATCATTATTATACACTTTGACCCCTGTATTATAACGATTATCGTATTTACCTCCTATAATATCGAAAAATACAAAATAGCCCTTGCGGACGTGGCATGTTGATGACATATATTTTATTTTCTTGGAAGGTTTATCACTTTAACTAGGGTTGGGACTGAGTTTTACCAGCTTAAAAAACGATTCACCCGACAAATTAATTTTGCTCAAATTTGGTTTTGAGGGGGGGGGGGGGGGGGGGGGGGCTAGAAATATTTTTATGGGCTTAAAGTGTATACAATTCAAACTTTTGGAGGCTAAAGTTAGACATTATAACCGGAAGCGGTTTGACCAGAACCGGAATTGAGAAAATCGGTTCGGTTCCGATTCCCTATTTTCGAAATTGAGAACCGTCGATTAGAACTGCGGGTCAAACCGTTCGAATAGGTTTTTTTTTTAAAATAAAAAAATAAATTATTTAAAGTTTAACTTTAAACTTTAAAATCTAAAAAAATAAGTGCAAGCCCTTTTAATTTCTTTCATTTTCTTTTTTTAATTTTTAAAACTAAAACTAATTCGTTCAATTTTTTTAAAAGTAAACATATATTTTTTTAATTATTTAAAATAAAACTTTAATTTTTTTTATGGCATATTACAAATAAGTTCATTATGGGATATTTATTCATAAATGGGTTCATATAAAAAACTTTTTTTCACAAAAAGTCCACACATTGTCTAGAGGTGTGTAAAAGACTAAAATAGCCCTTCACACTTTAATATACTCCAATTTCATCATTTAATTTAATTTAACCTCAATTTGACCGCATATTTCATAAATTTCTTAATTTTAACCCAAAAGTCAACTTTGAGTATAATTTCGTCCGTCGCCGCCGTTGACTTTTTTTTTTTCTCATGATTTTTCTGCCGATCAACGCGTCTCCGGCATTGACTTTTTCGATTCTTTTCCCTTCTTCTGCCGCCGCTGACCGCCGATCTCCGGCAGTGTTGACTTTTTTATTTTTTATTTTTTTTCTTTAGCATCTTTTTGCCTCGTTTAAACAGCAATATTACCGTGGTTGACAGACATATTAACTATATTACGATTAAACACATTAATATTAACTATACTACAATTTAACACATTAATATTGCTATATTAATCTCTAGCACAATAATATTAACACAACAAAAGTTATTATTATTGTGTAATAGAGTAATGTTAATATGTTGACCGTTCAACGAAGGTAAACATAATAAAAAGCCAAAAAGTTTAATATTGATGTGGTTGACAGTAATATTTTTGTCATACACATTAATATTACTGTAACAACAGTAATATTACCGTCAATCACAATAATATTATTGTGTTTACAGTAATATTACAATAGTAGACAATAATATTATTAAGTTAATCCATTAACAACTCAAACAAAATAAAAAAAAAAGCCAAAAAAATATTGATGTTGTTGACAGTAATATTATTGTGTTTACAGTTATTTTACCGTCAACGACAGTAATAGAATTACGGTGACTTGTCAACTAATCAAACAAATTTAAAATAAAAAAAAAAACCCAAAAAAATAATAATATTGTCGCTGACAGCGACAGTACAATTACTGTCAGCGACAATACAATTACTGTTAATGACAGTACAATTACGGTCAACGTTCAGCTGCGGACGTGAAAAAATGGATAAAAAATGTAGGGGGAAAAAAGTCAAAATTGAATATTTGTGGTCAAAATTGATTAAATTGGGGTTACAATTAAGAATTGGGTGTAAAAGGTGGGGGTTAATTTTGTCATATACATTAATTTTTCCTTTATTTATAATACATATTAAATGGATGAGCTTATTGGCGAAACAGATCTAACCCCTGAACCTAGAATAATAAAGATAGTTGGTTTGGGATTTATGCACAAAACCCCCTTTTTTAAGTCTTTGAACTTTGAAGTATTCTTTCCACTATTTTTTTTTAAATTAACTACTTTAATTATTTTTTAAGTATTTTTTTTTAATTTATATATATATATAAAGTGTATTAAATTAAATTATTTAAAGTTTAACTTTAAACTTTAAAATTTAAAATTAAGTGATGCCCTTTCAATTTCTTTCATTTTCCTTTTTTTAATTTTTAAAACTAAAACTAATTCCTTCAAATTTTTTAAAAGTAAAAAAATAATTTTGAAATATCTTAAAAAACTTTAATTTTTTTTAAGTCTTTGAAGTATTCTTTCCATTGTTTTTTTTTTCTAAATGAATTATTTTTTAACTATTTTTAAAATTAAATATAATAATTAAAAAAAATAGTCATAACCGGCCGATTTTACGGGTTCTAACCGGGAATTGTAAAGAACCGAACCGCAAGGAACCAGAAATATTCAGTTCCATTCCGGTTCCTCCATATCAACACCGAAATCGAAAGCGGAACCAAAGTGAACCGTGGTCATGTCTAGCTAAAG